AAGTGTTTGAATAAACCCTTTAAAAAACTGTATTAAGCATGTTAATTTCTGCTTGATTTATCTTGCTTAGTAGATTGGAAGGATATCCTGGAAGTCAGGATGACATCTTCTGCTGCATTGGAGGGGACATTATGTGCAGTACGTTTCTAGTCTGGTTTTGCACTGGGGAGATGTACTGAGATACTATTAAAAACTGTACTTCAATTTTACTAAAAAGTTCAAATGTTTTATTAAGAATTGTGTCTATAATTTAAAATTTATGGAACAAAGAACGCAGAATATAATTTTACAATATCATCACTAACTTCTGCACTGTCTTTTTTTAAGTTTTGATTATGAAGATGCAGGATACCAAGCAGCAGACCTAATCAAAATGGATATTCTTCTAAATGGAAATCCAGTTGAAGAACTGTCTACTATCATACACAAGTAGGTTGAGTAGATTCTTTATGCCAAAGAAATAAGACTTCCTATTAACTTCAGTGAAAACATTGTCTCTTAATAGGACTTGATGATCTTAAGGGACTTTCCTGACCTAAACAAATGTATGATTCCAAGTGATTCTAGGTGTAGGTATTACTCTTATATATGACAAATACGTATGAGCATCGAGAATTTGCCACATCACCACTTTCATCACCACTGAAAAAGAGAGGCATTTTGTAATATGAAAATTAGGGAATACATACCATAAATAGTAGCAATTTCTACTTTTCTTTCTTAGTTTAAGTGCTGGATATCATATTTTTTGTGGCAAATGTAGGGCACAGAGGTGAAGGAAAATGCATAATGCCAATCTTCTAAGGGGCTGGAAAAATTTTAAGTGCAGACCAGTCAAGGAGATGCCAGATGAATCATTTATGGTACTTCATACTGAAAGAAAGTTGGTTTTATTCTCCCAATAATTCCTGTTCTATATAAGTTTGTTGTTTTCTTGTCTCCAGCCTTAGTACCAGGAAAATGTAAGTATTTACTGGATGCAATTACCTCAGAAATTTTTTTTGATAAAATGATTCAATTTCCACGACTGTCTCAGGAATTACGGGTGAGGATAATGCCTTTCCCATTTCCAGCCTCTTCTGACAGTTTTTACAAGGTTCCCTTCTGTAACTTCAGCATCCCTTTCCAGTAATCCCGAAATCAACTTTTTGTGGGTTGTTTGTTTTTGCATTCTCAAAATACTAATTTATAGTTGCTAAATATTGGTATATTTTCATATTTTTTTACGTAAGTGCAATATCGAAATCTTCGGAATTCCGTAACTCCAGAAGGTTGACATAGGAAAAGGAAACCCTTGCCTTGTTCAGATGGGTTATGGGGCTGGAGTGATATAACTCTGTTGCATAAGATTGCTACTTAATGTGTTTTTTATAAATATGCGGTGTTTAACAATCTACCTGCATCTCTTACTCTGAAAAGATGCAATGTGGAGCGGCTCACCTTGCAAAAGTTAGTTAGTTATTTAATATGTATTTCTTGGTCAATGTAACTTGCACCCCTGAACTGTTTCACTCACTAAAACTGATAGTCTTTCTTTTAGCTTTAGATTACTAATGACTTTTTTTTAACCTGTAGTCAGCATTCATTCTGCTCCTGCTGCAGGTATTCTCAGTCTTCCCACTGTAAAAATTGCATCTGTCTATATATAAAGCATTATGCTGAATTACATTTACAGAGATTACTGTAAGCTAGTATTAAGCTAGCCATTATTTGTTCTAATTATAAAAATAAATATCTGTATCTCCTAAAACTGTAATGCTTAATGAAGATTACTTAAGTACTTCATGCTTAAATTGTTTGCTCTGTACAGGTAGTAAGGAGTCACATTGTTGCTACCTGAAAGTATGTAAAACTGATTTCAGCTGTATGTTGGTAAAAAACATCTGCTGAATAAGGATATTTTTAGAGGGAACAGAGACCCATTTCTTTCCAATGGCTTATGAAAGTATGTTAGTAGCTTCTTTAAGCTTTTTGGTTTTTTCTCTTTCCAGAATCTGTAGCACATGCAGATGCTGAATATAGTTGGATAATTTTTATTAGCAGATGACAGGAGTACATGATTATTTTTCTTGTTATATAAAGCCAGATCTTTTTAAAGTATTTCTGTAATATGTAGATATTTTGACCTTTTGGGCCTACAATCAATGAAAATTCTCCTTGACCTAGTTTAAAATTTCATTTGAAGCTGTAACAGTATTCAAAATGGCTTCAGTGTGATGGATAATCAGGATGTTTATTATAAATATTTTAAGGCCTGCTGTTAATGCAGTCTTATCACCTGTTAGTATGAAACAGGTGACATACAGAGATCACTCATTAGATGCAGAATTATGATCTGATTACCTTATCTTTTGAGCTAAAAAGAGGAAAACTTGTACTAAAATCCTTTTATCAAACAGTTTGGTCTGTGGATAGATTTTTGATGTTGCATCACTTTTTCTGAAAACACTGGTTGACTTCCTTTTTCAGTGATAAGGCATATGCCACTGGTAAACTCCTGTGTGAACGTTTAAAAGAGGCTATACCTAGACAGTTGTTTGAAATAGCCATCCAGGCTGCTATTGGCAAGAAAATCATTGCAAGAGAAACGTAAGTGAAGACCATCTGTTCCCTTTTTTCACCTCCATAATTTAAGCTATGTAAAATACAGATTTTTAATGTCTCACCAAGTTTTATACATTACAGTACTTTGATTTTAGTGTAAAGTTGTATTTTTCTTGTATATGCTACCAGACATCTTGAAAAAAAGAAAAAAAACCTAAACCAAATTTGAGCTGTGACTGTGACTAAAGACTTTGAATTACAATTATACAAAGAAAATGTATTTTTTATTTTAAATTGCTTGTGGTCAGCATTGCACTTAGTGGATAATGCATAATGTCCAACACCTGTGTGTCCATTTCCTCTTTGGCAGTGGAAAAAGTTTCTTCCTACTGAAAAAAATTAGCTAGTTGTGGAATAGTTAAATCTGTGGGAGAGTCAGCAAAAAAAGAACTGATTTGTGCTGTTCCAAAGGAAGTATGTTGCAAGCTGAACAACAGCTTTTTCTTAAGCAGCATGCACTTCTTTAGAGCAAACAGTTTCCTTGATGCTGTGTTTCTCGTCACATTTTTCTGTTGCTGTTGAAATAGGATTTAAATTGTGGTAAAATGATTATAGGTAGGAATTTAAGCCAAGGCGCTGTAAGAATTTGTGTTTATATCTATACACACATGATGTAACACTTCCTATGAGCCAAAGCAGAAGTCCTAGATAAAAAGACAAGATTGTAATTTTTTTACATTATACACCCTATGGGGTATTTCTAGAATTAAGAACTGTGAATTGCATCTTCTGCTTAAAACTTCATCTCTTGTATACAAAACATGACAATGTTATGATGCCGATGCATCTTACAAAAGTAGTAGAAAAACAATTAGCATTTTGACAACTCAGTATTTAGCTTCACATATAGATGTTCTAATGCGTTAAAGGTATATATGTTATTTTATTTTACAGGCTGAAAGCTTACAAGAAAAATGTTGTGGCAAAATGTGTAGGTATTTTTTTCTTTTTTTTTTTTAAATGTTTCTGACATTTGTAAACCTGCTAAGATGATAGGCCCATATTTTCCTAGAAACTCAGCAAAGGCGTGTTCTGCTTGCGCTCGTAAGTATCAGTGGAATTTTAACAGATACTTTTAAGCTTTTATTTTAAAATTCAACTCTTACAATGTTTAGCTGCAACTTGTAGTAAGAGGGGATCAGAAAAAGTAATGGCTTTTTCAAAGTTACATGCTTGAGTGAACTCACCATGTTCTAATAGTTGAAGACAGAGTAAATGTATGTGTGTACACAAGCATATGTGTAACTTCACATTTCCTAAATTGTTTTTCAGATGATAAAATATAAATGTGCTTCGTAATAAAGCTTTTAAATATTGAATAGTTGGCTATTGACAAGACTCAACAAAGCTATAGGAAAAATGTGATACCTCTTACTCAGCTTATATTTAGTTCTCTGAAGCAAATGTTGGAAATTATTGACCAAGTGTCCCTTTCTCACAACTGTAACAGAATTCTTCTGCTATGCACCGATGTGGGATGGTGTTTGTTAAATGTTGTATGAGGGTTTAGTTCATTTTTCTAGATAAAAGCACCTAGTGCTAGTCAAGATGCCTCACTGTATCTGAGCTGGCATCCTGCTGCTGTTCCAAGGGGATATGGATCTGATGTATTGTCTAGTGTCAGCCAGGCTTATGTGAACGTGTATATTTAGGTAACAGAATTCAACCTTCAGGTGAAGGTTCCAAATGAACATGCTTACTTGCTCCTTTGTTTTTAATGAGTGTTCTTTAGGCATAACTATTTGGAGTATAAAATAATCTTTTGTCTTAATATAACCAACCTTCCTGGCTTTCTTTAAGCCCTTGAATTTAGTGTTGCTGAAATGTACTGTAGCTGCATTTGTTGTTTAGCTTACTAAAACATTTTTCCTTTTCACAGTATGGTGGAGACATTACAAGAAGAATGAAGCTTTTAAAGAGGCAGGCAGAAGGCAAAAGGTTGATGAGAAAAATTGGCAATGTGGAAGTACCAAGAGATGCCTTTATACGTGTTCTAAAGAGAGAAACTGACAAGTAGAGATCAGTGACGTGATCATTCTCAACTTTTTGCAGACAGGGGCATAGTGAGCTAATATATGATTTATCACAGTGAGAGGGAACATACTTGACTTTTAATGGTGTAAATTAAGTATATCTAGGAAGATGAACTGAAAGGACTGTGTACTTAAAATGTACAGATACTTGTAGATTATTATGAAATTAAAGTTCACTTGACTGAATTTTCATTGTATAGTTTTCATTGTATTTCACTGTTTTCATATTTTTAATACTTAAAAAATGTTTTCTTTTTGCATTGCAAGTCTACATATGAAAGAACAGGAACCACATGGCAAAAGGGTTATAAAAATAATTGAAAGGTATGTATAGACGAACAATGCTGTGTTGGTTTGGTTTTCTTCTTGTAAAGTTTTAGCTGTTGCCATAACAATATCAAGCTGCTTCCTGTTTTACTACTTCTAAAGTTGCTGATGTCAGAAAATCATCATGATGCTGGGAAATAACATCAAGGGGAAAAAAAAATCAAAACTTTTTTAATGTACAACACTGTATTTTAAACTCGTTGAAGTGTATAAGTTTACCATTAGTACAGCCTAGCTATACTCAGCTCCAGAGAAATCGTAAGTTTTAATACATTAAACCACAGGATATGTAACTGCTCCACCAAAAGACCAGTTCAAGCCTTAAAGAATTCCTTTGGCATGAAGGTTTGGTTAGAACATGTCTTTGTGTACTTGAAGTTTTATTTCTTTTGTTAGCTAGTCCTCAGTTGAAAGCTACAGTGCAGTGTGCTTAACATACAGTGTACACAAGGCAATCATAAATGCAAGTTAATGACCCTGCTATATACCCTGTTTACAACTGCTTGCCCACCCTCCAAAAGCTTTTAAGACAGACTCTTCCATGCTTTTGTAATTTCACAGAACCGTAGAACAGTCCAGGTTTGAAGGGATGTTAAAAGACCATCTGGTCCAACCCTTTATGCAAAAGGTGAGCCTAGATGAGACTCTACCACATCCTCAGGAGAAGATGTGATTTGTAATTAAGGCTACCTGTCTGTCATCTAGGTGAAGAGTTAAATTCTTCAAGTTCTGCTTTGTTGCATTTTCTCTCAGTGAGTATTTTACACAAGGACATGATCCCACTGCTCCCCCCCAAAAAGTCTAAATCAGTGAACTCTTATCTTCCTCCTTTGGTGCTTAATCGCTCCCTGAAGCTCTGAAGTATTTACGCATGACAAATTATATTAGAAATGAAACAATTTTGAAATTAGAGATTTATAGTTTTACTTATATTCAAAGTAGGAAATAACATTCCTTGTAACAGCTCAATGTTTATAATGATACAATGAGAAAGTGATTAACAGTTGGCTTTAAATGACCATTAAATTTGCAGACATTATGTTCCTGTATAACTTAACATCTTTTCAGGCATTTAATAGTAACATCAATTATATAATTGAACAGGTACCTCCAGAAAGGAACATTTAGATTTTTCCTTATGTATAAAGCTTGATTACCAAAAATATAAAAATCCTAAAGTAACTTTAAATACATGAGAGGAAAAAGTGCTCTGGCAGAAGTTTAATATTTTTATCCGTGGAGTAAGTTATAACTTGCAAGAATTTGGTGCGTTTTTAGGCACTGTTCTTGTATTTTCATTTGTCTGAACTATACAGCAGGTCTTGGGATGCCCAAAAACTGTTTAAGATAAATTTAAGGCAACCAAGTGCAAAAGCTCAGTGTATATTAGATACATGTAAACAGAACGTTTCATAGTAGAAATTGTACAACTATTACAAGTCCATAGTATTGACAAAGGCCAAAACCATTCTGCCTAGAGACACAAATGCAAAATGTAGTTACACTAATCAAGCCAAAAGTTACAAATTCCAGGAAATAAAGTATCATCTTCTTTAACACAAGGCAGATGCATTACACTGCTGTGCTAGAGTAAGTGCTCTGCTTTCCCCCTCTCTACATAACATGCAGTCTCTCACAGGTTTATTCTGTTCCATTTAGTGATGTACCACTCAACAGCAGAGCTCCAAATGTTAAAGCTAAATGCACAACACAGCAAACAGATGGAATGTGAATGTACAGATATTGGACCTTTTAAAAAATACAGTACCTAGGATTCCCCATTTTAAACGGTTTTCAGCATATTGCATAGCAGTGAACTCATCTGCTACCTAAAACAGTTGCTGTTGACCCACATGGAGTTCCTCTTCAATTCTTCTTTCAGTTTTCTTTCATACTGTACAGTGGGTCCACAAGCTTATTGTGCACATGCATTAAACCTTGGGGGGAAAGCAACAATGCCAGCTTTACATTACTTATAATTTTTCAACATGTCCTTCTATCCACATTTTTATTTGGAGTTTGCTTCAAAGTGTACATTTTAAATAGTTCACTGAAGAGAACAATAATGTCTATTTAAAGCAATTTAAAATCGGAGCCAGCATATATATATATATATATATATGTATTCCTGTATCACTTGCATACTAATGACATCTGCAGTATAAACCGAGCAGGGATCAGACAGTTCTCTGATAACAGACCCAAAAAGCAGATCTGGAATGCTTCCAAATTCATTGAATACATCTTTTGTTCTGTATTAAAAACTGCATAACAGCAACATAATTCCCTCACACCATAATTTGTCATAAAAATCAGATATATACATAGTGATACTTTTACAGCTTGAATTCTTCAATTGCAATATTCTAGCATTGTGGTATCACTGTCTGGTCCTAGACACAAAGGCAAAATAAAACTATCTAGACTGTTAATGCAGATTCAGAATTTCAGTAGTTCAACTGAAATTCAAACTGTTCTAGCTGGGCTTTTTTTTTTTTTCCACATACAAGTCATCCATAGCTATGATAGGGGTGTTATTTTTTTCCTACTCAACTACTTCAATTCTGGAAAATGCTGAAGAGCATTTAACAAAAAAAGATGCTTCCCTCTTTACTTTGTTATTACTTAGTAAAAATGTTATCTATATCTACCTATGTGTGACACTGGGTCACTGGCAGGTTTTTAAACCTCATTTCACCTTAACGACTAATAACAGTAACTGATCAGCATTCACAATCTGCAAAGTAAAAGTCCATTTTAGCATCAAACTAAAGACTAACTTCTAAAATTAAAATACGCAACATTGCGAGTCATTTTCCTAAATACCATGAAATAAATATGCAAGTAGTACATAAATACCTTTGCTAGATGATGCACCTGGTGGCAACCTTAGTGTCACTGCAGCAACATGCAATAACTATACAATTTTAAGGTCATTACTGTAGTGACCACAACAAAAGGCATTTTATGCAGCATCTATTACTAATCACTGTGTCGCCATTTAATATAAAATGCAGATATTAGATCAAGTATAATATTTTTCAGTTTAACAGTGAGAAAAATTACGTATACATTTGATATAAAGTCATTTGTACTGAAAGAGCAACAGCTGCACACACTGCTCAAACTAGAAACATGTTTTGAGCTTCCTACCAGTGTTTTTCTCTTCTAAAAAGGGGAAATGAAAAGGAGATAATTACTCACTTCCTAGACGCATGAAAAATGCTTACTAAGTATTGCCTCTGCCATACTTAATGAAGAATATTTAAATCCTGTTAGTGAAATTGTTACAGGAAAATCAGTAAGAAACAAAAGTTTTTTTTTAAGGTATGCATCCCACTGTATATTCAAGTATGTTTGGACAAACAGATTTCTGCATACAGTTTTAAAAGAAGCATGCGCAAGTATGCAAAAAACTATCCTGAACTAACTTATCTGCAGAAAGATTAGTAAATTCAAAATTCATTTTGTTTCATTCTTCAAGAAAGTTATTTTCCCTTTTATCGTAAGAACATTTAAGTACACTTCATACTTTTAACCTATAATAGGTTTTCAGAAAGTTAGAAAAAAGTGGAGTAAGTTATTCTGTTTACCAGCCAGCGTGGTATTTGATTATAAAAAAAAAATAAAATTGCAGTTTCATATAGTACCTTGAGAATATTTAAGTTGTGAAAAATCTCAGTAAATCACTAAATAGCAGTATTAAGAACTACCTAGCTTCCTTAAGAAATCTAACTTAAAGATCAAGATTCAGAAATAATTCCAAATTTGACCCACATTGATCTCTCCTTCATCTTTAAAAGGGAAAATCTCACTGATTTGAGAGTAGGTAAAATTAAGCAAGTTTACAGTAAACAGTCTTTTTAAGCATTCTATTGCTGTATATTGCAGGGTTATTCAATACAGTGTGACACAACAGCACACATTCATAAATTGTAGCCCTTGATGTTTTTAAAGCAATGTTCAGTGTTATTCATACCTAGTAATTCTACATTATGTTCATCTTTCCCAAGCATAGCCTTTGTTTATATGAAATACAGGATAATGTTTAAAATTTATCCAAGCAGTTAAAGAAGCTTATCTTTGAAAACAACAATATCTAGCAGTGTGATACAGCTAAAGACTAACCCTCCCCCCTACCCTGCAAATACATAGCAGAGGACAGCATACTGAAAAAATCCAAAATTAACAAATTGGCCACAAGTGATATCAGGATAAAAATCACAGTAATGTCTGAATTGCAGTCTAATACATATATGTGCACTGCTCATATAATGCTTTAAAAAAGAATTTAATAAATTACAATCTTGATCTCTGATACCTCAACTACTACAGGTACCCATGCTAGTGAGAAAGATGACCATTTCACACAATTCCATGTGCTGTACTAATACAGTCAGGAGAAAACTACTTTTCTTAGCTTCTACAGTCTCAATGAAACAATTCAAATTAGGAAGTCTCAATGACTATCAAATATCCTGACTTCAATTTTGCCCCAATATACCTACTACAAATATGAAAAGCACAGTACCAGTGTGCAACGTGTTTGAATTCAGTATAGATTGTTATGCTAATTGCACTGAATGAAAAATGTCCTCACGTGGCTTCAAAGTCTGTATCATACATTTCCAGTTTACTAGACAGCAAGTTACAGCACACAGCAAAGGCAGCATGAAAATATATCAGGATTAATAAATGTATTGAGTTTTTTTAAGTGAAACTTTCCATTATACTTAAGACCTGTGTTCTGGAACACTGCTGCTGTTTGACGTGGAAGATTACTAAATTATTGTTTCAAACTAGAAGCAAAGGAAATGTTTCTCCCAAGTAGATTTGTCAGGAATATAAGCAGCACAAGTTACGCCTCCTAGCAATTTTCCATACACAAGAAATAAGTTAACAGTTAGTATTTTGAATATATAACATTATACATTAGGTACTGTAAAGTGTTGAAGGCTCAGACTTAAATCAATATAATTTTAAATCTGTTGGGTTTGCATTTTTTTAATACATGTAACCTCTGATTCAGTGCTCACCTTTAAAGTACTTCACAGTTTTAACTCTTAGTTCTAAAGTAGCATCTTCATCACACACAAAGATAGTGCGAGGGTGTTGCTGGAAAGCAGAAACTGTCCACATATGATTGACTCCTTCTTCGATTGCTTTGTACAATGCAAAAGCCTTATGTGCACCTGTTATAAGAATCATCACCTGCAAAACAAAGGTCTCTTTACTTTCAATCCCAGTATCAATACCAACTAGTCTTGAAAACACACATGCAACTAGAACTAAATGAGTTCTTACTTCTCTAGCATCCATCACTGTACCCACACCAACTGTTAGCGCCATAGTTGGTACTTTAGATAAGTCTCCATCAAAGTATTTAGCATTTGCCAAAATGGTGTCCATTGCTAAAGTCTTTAATCTTGTTCTTGAAGACAAACTTGATCCGGGTTCATTGAATGCAATGTGGCCATCTGGACCAATGCCTTTTCAAAGTTAAAAAAAGTAAATCATTCCAAACCTGAGAGTCAACAAATATCCTCAAACATCTTAAACGAATAAACAATTTTTAGGACTCATTCTTTCCTTTCCCCATTTTCAATAAAAAACATTCTAAACTTGATAAAATTTAAGTCATTAGAAACTTGGACACCAACCATTCTGTTTTGGTATTCATACTGATTCTTTGTTAGTCACAGAACTTTCTTGCACCATAACTGAAAAGTCTGGGTTTAGCCAAGTCACGAAAATAATGATTAAAGAATCAGTGTACATGCTTGAATAGGAACTAACCATAGAGCATTTCCTCATACCTCCAACAAACAGATCAATCCCTCCCGCTTCTTCAATTTTCTTTTCAAATGCATCACATTCCGCCTGTAAGTCTGGAGCGTTCCCATCAAGGATATGAGCATTATTTGGATCTATGTCAATATGCTTAAAGAAGTTATTCCACATATAGGAATGATAACTCTCTGGATGATTTCTGGGGAGCCCTGAAATCATTTAGAGTGAAATTAACATAAGACAAGATTTAACCAAACAGCCTTAATTCTAGTTTATTTGTAACTGATGTAGGGCATGCAAGGCAAACCTGAGTCAGATAAAGCAAGTTTTGAAATTACATTGAGAAGAAAGTTTTCCTGTTGGCATGCACAAGGTAATTGGTTTGCATTCACTTCATGTCTTATCACAAAGAGTATTAAGTCTTCAACAGACATGCAGTCACAATATTATGTTACAATGTACTTTCTGCACTGTTTATTTTTGCATTTCTGTAGATAAATAATAGAGAAAAATGCTTAAGATGACCCCATGGACAGAAATTTAACATAAGAGTACAAACATACTAGACTGATCTCGTTCTTTGACAAAGTATTTAATAGTTTTTATAAGGAGGAAAAAATAACAGTATGGTGTGTTCTCAAATAATATCGCATCTTACCTACATACTCATCCATGTTGAAAGTCTTCACATATTTGAAAGAGAGATCTCCATTTTTGTGATATTCTATCAGCTTTTTGTAGCATCCCAAAGGCGTACTACCTGTTAAATAAAATTTTTCTACTATTCTATGTATCTGCACGACATTTTCAGTGTATTTAAATCTCTTCGTAGTCAAATTTTGCTACAATACTTTTAAACATAAAAGCAATCTGCTGTTTCTCATTTAGTATTTCTCAGCTTCTCAAACATTAAAACTTTTCACACAAAGCAAATTCATATTTTAAAAACATTATGTTGGAGTATTACCAAAAATAATACTTATGTTCTTTTAAATACTGTATCTGCTAGCAATGATACAAACATTGTTCTAGGTTTACTTATTTACACAGACTTTGAATAAAACTTGCCTGTTGGTAGACCAAGCGTGAAATATCTTCCTTGACTTGGCTTGAACTGGATAATACGATTACAGATGTATTTTGCTGCCCATTCACTAGCCTGATCATAATCTTCAAGAATTACTAGCCTCATTGTGGCAGTGAGGAACTTGTATTATAAAACAAACTTAAACCTGGAGAAAATGTCAAAGTTTTAAAAATAAGCACCCTATGAATAGTTGTAAAACTCTTAGATAACAGTGGAGATAAAAAATAACCTGTCATGCCGATCACTTGCATAAGCATAGCACATTCTTGCAGTCCTAGTTCAAGCTGGACAATCAAAAAAAGCTACAGAATCCAAATGACAGATTCCAGTCAAAATATTTATTAAAATTCACAGACTAATTTAAAGTAACTTACAGGAAAAAGCTAAACCAAAATATGAATAAGACATTTTGAACTTCAACATTTTAGTCAAGTATTACTGTTAGAAAACAGGAAATATTCAAACGCTGAGATTAACTCCTGTTTCTTATGACCAGCTGAAGGCCTAAAATTTCAAAAACAAGGTCTAAAATAACCCCATGTTTCCCTATTTAAAATACCTAATTGGAAGTAAATAATTAAAATTCCTTTCACTGCCATTCTAGCTCCATAACAATGCTTCAGTACGATTATTAATCTGCAAAAAAAAAAGTTAAAGCATTAGATATTTTAAATGTGAGCTCGTATTATCTTTCCCCATGAATTGTAAACCTTTTTTCTTTTCAACATAACTTTAAACAGAAGTTTAGAAAGCTTTATTTTGAGCGCAATGGTATCAACTTCTAAGATGAATATCCAGAAAAGAAGCTTGCTCGATAGAAGTATACAAGCATCTCTTGCATTTAAGTGAAACTCATTTGACCATGAGAGTTTAACAGTCAGGTAATTACCAGAAAGACTGGGGCTCTTGAGCCAGTTTGTGATGTATTCTTCTCTTCCCAGGTCTGAATGTGCTTGGCATTAGCCAAAAAACAACACAGCTGCCAGAAGACCAAGGCCAACTGAGTGCCAAACCACCTGTAGTGCACACTACTCTTAGCTGACCCAAAACGAGTGTGGTTTTAAGCACAAATATGAATTAAAATACATTTGTGTTTCACAGGGTGACATCTGTTTGTCCAACCAAAGAAGAAAGAAAGTGAACGCCGTGTGCTGCTTCCTCTCCACGGGCAGTTGAGCCGTGACAAGTCAAACTCACCTTTGCAGAGGAAACGCTATTACACAGACACCAAAAGGAGCTCACAGACATCCCCGAGGAGCACAGAAAAGCAGGCCAGCAGGAAGAGACCCCGCGGCTTTAGGGTGGCCTCATAAACCTCCACCGATTTTTCCCTGGAAACACGGGGATGCTCTTCGGCAGCAGCGGACCGCGGACCGCACCAGAACGACCGCGGATTTTCGGCTGAAGGCACTTTCTTGGGGGGTGTTGGTAAACCCACACTGTTGGAGAAAGAAACCCACTGCCGGACCGCCGCCGGCGCAGCCCGGGGCCCGCGGCCTCCCCTCCCCACCGCCCGCGGGCCCCGCCCGCCCCGCTCACCCCCGGAGAGCCCGCGGCGGCCACGAGCGGCACCGGCACGGGGAGGACGAGGAGGAACAGGATGGCGAGCAGCAGGAGGACGGAGAGCGCCGCCCGCCCCCCAGCTCCCGCCCCGCCGCCTCCAGGAGAGCCCAGCGCGACCCGGAAGCGCCTGGCGAGGACGGGAAAAGGGTTTGTTTTCCTATTTCCATTTCCGGGCGCTGCGACTGGTGAGGGGAAGGGGTGAGAGAGTGCCGGTCCGCCAGCACCCGTGGAGTTGGGAGCTGCTGGGGGCTTTGCCAGAACACTGGCGTGCTTCGCACTCCGGTTGTAAAATGTGGAATATGTAAAATTTTCATAAGAAAGGATGTTCTTTGATTTTTATATACTTTCAAGCCTAAACAACAAGAAAGGAGATTTAATCTGTGAAACAGAGAGCAGCCAACAAGCTCTAAGTGATGTCCAGGTGTTAGAAAGACAAATTACTTCTTGGTAGAATTGCCTTGTTAAGGTTTAGGGCTTGACATGTTTCAATGATCTCAAACCTCACACACACACGAACACACACACATGGCTAGGCTTCACGAACGAAGATTTGGGAAGGGCTCTACCCACGTTTGTTGCAAGCGCATTGGTGGCTAATAAGGCCAATGCAAGATAGACACGTCCGGTTGCAAAAGGCACAGCAGAAAGACTCCTTAGGTGGTATATTCTGCAAGGCACGATTCTTTCTGCATTGTCTTTTCTCCTCAAGGGTGATCCTGCATGCTTTCTCAAAAGCATCAGCAGCATTATAGATGGTGTGTCTCCAGGCCTCCCAATTGGAGGCCAGAGTAGACCAGTTATGTTGATCAATATGGCCAAGGCTGAGATGATGTTTCAGGGAGTCTTTGTATCTTCTCTTCGGGGCTCCTCTCTTGCGGCAGCCGGTGGCAAGTTCACCATAAAGCAGGATCTTAGGGAGGCAGTGGTCCTTCATCCTTGAGACGTGTCCTGCCCAATGCAGCTGTGTTCTCAGCAACATGGCCTCAATACTCACAACTGCTGCTTGTTCTAGAACAGATAACATAACCTGACCAGTGGATTTTTAGGATTTTACGGAGGCAGCGCTGATGGAAGCATTCTAGGAGATGCAGCTGGTGGTGGTAGATGACCCATGATTCAGATCCATATAGAAGAGTAGACAGCACAATGGCTCTGTAAACACTGATCTTTGTACTTTTCTTCAAGTGTTTATTTTGCCAAACTCTTTTATGAAGTTTTCCGAAAGCACTATATGCCTTTGCTTACCTGTTGTCTATGATCTCAAACCTAGGGGGAGGTTAACAGAGCTTAGGAAAAATGATGAACTACTGAGAGTGGACACAAAGAATGCAGAATTTACAGGCCACAAGAACATTTGGCAGAACTCCCACGATAAGGAAGAAACTCATAAAGCCAACTCAGCAATTGTGCTGAATCAGCTCCCACTGGATAAAAGATAATTCCAGCAGGGGGAAATCGTGACCACTAACTCATGGACCACTTATCCAAGAAACCCACTGACTCAAGAGAACGACTGAGCATGTAGACTAATCAGGATGAGAAGTGAGTCATTAACCAACAGAAGATAGAATGCTAATTAATAAAAGAACTATGTAACTTGTAGCCAATGGACACTAATTCCTGTGTTTGCTAAAATGTATAAATAGTGAAAAGTTTTGATAGTTGTGTGCTAGCTTTCTGGATTTGCCACCCAGCGCCCCTTTCTAAGCAGATTTGTAAATTAACACCTTGACTCTGTGTGTGGATTTGCCTCTTACACAGATGACAGAACATATTTTGGCAACACAAGCTGGAGCAGTGCATAAGCCCTTCTCTTGGAGTCCCTATTATATGGGAAGTAGGTGGCACTCTAAGATTCTAATGGAAAAAGTTCTCTCTTCCTCTAACTTAAATGTTTACATGAAGCAGTAACAAAAAGGCTGTTTGTAGTTACTGAAAAAGAAAAATAGGTAAAACATCAACTTTTTGGTGGATGACAAATTGACCATGAGCTGGCAGTGTGCCCTTGTGGCCAGGAGGGCCAATGGTATCCTGGGGTGCACTGGGAAGAGTGTAACCAGCAGGTTGAGGAAGGTGATCCTGCCCCTCGACCCTAATGAGGCCACACCTGTGGCCAGTTCTGGGCTCAGTACAAGAAAGAGAAAGAACTATTGGAGAGGGTCCAGTAAAGGGCCACAAAGATGATTAGGGGTTAGGAGCATCTCTCTTATGAGGAAAGGCTGTGGGAGCTGGGCCTTTTTAGTCTAGAGAAAAGAAGACTGAAAGGGGATACCATTAATGCATGTAAATATCTCAAAGGTGGGTGCCAAGAGGATGATGCCAGACTTTTTGGCAGTGCCGAGTAACAGGACGAGGAGCAATGGCCGTAAACTAACAAAAGTTCCACCTCAACATGAGGAAGAACTTTACATTGAGGGTGTCAGAGCACTGGAACAGGCTGCCATGGAGGTGATGGACTCTCCCTGTCTGGAGACATTCAAAACCCACCTGGACTCATTCCTGTGTCACTTGCTCTAGCTAACCCTGCCTTGATGGGTGAAGGTGAGATCTGGATGATCTCCAGAGGTCACTTCCAACCCTAATGATTGTGTGGTTCTATGATTCTATCTCTTTTTGCTTTAAAAGCAGTCAAGTAATTTCATAGTCATAGCAAGCTATAATTAAATAGCTGTGGTTTGATAGGTCTTGGTGGCAGCAAAACAGCTAAGTCTGAAAGGGTGGTGCTTCAGAAAGTAGTGGGAAAACTGGAGCGGGGGGGTAAGCAAGTAACATAATTCTGAATATATGTGTATGCACATACTGTAGGCTTCACTGAGGCCTTACCATATTAGAAGACCAGGATAAATCTTTTTACTGGGCAGGAGCATAACTGGTTGTGGAAAAACATCATGATTGATGGGTAAAGGAAGGGAAGCTAATAAAGGGGAGCGTGTGTTTCCAGAAAAAAAAAAAAAAAGAACTCTGGGAACATACATGAGTAAAACGATACATTTTCTGATAACCTGTCTAGCAAGATTTAAAAATATTGAGAAATACTTTGCCGAGGGCATGAAATATGTGTTTGCAAGCTTGTGAGGAAAAATATATCTTACTGAAGTCTTGGGCTTAGCATGCAACAATTAAAAATACCCTTTGTTTCAAAATCTGCCTTTCATTTGAATTTAACTTTCTAATATAAGCAACTTGATTTTAGCTTATGCATGTTCTTCTGATAAATTTTGCAAGGTCCTAAAGAATATTTTCTCTTACACAATTTCCTGAGTCATGCTCTGAGCCTCTGATGCTCTCATTGTTTCAGAGTACATTTGCAATGGAAGTTATTTTCAGATCCTATGTAATTAATTAAGACTAGTTAACACATTTCTTTGTTATTACTACACACCTAGGTGCCTATAGGCCTGATATCACACCCCTCCCCTGAATAGTAGGGGAGATTTTTCCCTTCCCTTAGTGAACTCTTATTTTCTGATATGTAAACTTAATCTAAGAGATTACATAATTATTTTGCATGGTCAGGTATCCAGTTGTCCTTCTCTCTCCAACAGCTCCCTATTATCCTGCTAGGACTGTCTATTCACTTTCTTTGCATCGTTAGTGTTGCCAGCTTCTAAGTGACACTGGTTTACAGTGCCCCTGAAGGTAGCAGCAATGGGCTCTACCTTGCTAAAATCTTTACTACCTCGATCTCGAGATGGTCAATTGTTTCTGAGGATTTTTACTCTAGTGTACACTTGCTACCTGCTACCTTGACATGGTAGGAATGGAGTATGCCCAAAAGGATGGTACAGCAAGAATTGCTGGTTTGTGTTATCCCTGTTTTTCTTGGCAGAAAGGCATCATTCAGCTTTCAGGCTTCCCATATCTGACTCCATTTTTCGATATACTCTGTAGATACGACCCTACCATATATTTCTTATCCTGCCATAGTCCATTGGCTTTGCTCATCACTCTGCTTGTGAAGTTGTTATGGGAAACTTGAGATCTTTCAAACAAGTTCTGTTGGTTTCCACAACTTGAAAATACTTTTTTTTTTCATCACTACAGAAAAACTCTTAAAATTCACTTTATAGGATCCTCCATATTGAATATTCTCCAGGAGGTCACAGAATATGTGATGTACTGCTCTGCACTCAGTAGAACTTGCCCCTTGTCCTGCTGCCTCTAAATTCTGAACAACTTGTCTGTTGCCTTTTTAGAAAACTTGGCAATGTTATCAAGTACTTCTATTAGACAGAAAAATTGCCTGTCTTTTGTGAGCATATTCAATTCTGACTCTCCTTGTTAGTATGCTAATGCCTAGGGTATGATTTTTCCAAGTCATTCTTCAGATTTTCCTTTCTAATTAGAAGCAGATGGAAAATGCTCTATATGCAATGAATGTTGTTGCTAACAATTACTAATTAAGATTTTGCTAATTAAAAAAAAATCTTAATTACTTACTAGTTTTCATTGAGTAGCATGACTAGAGATTTCCTAAAATCTGACAGTTATAGTATTTAAAATCCCAGTATCTTTCTCTTGCTTCTGGAAACAGTCTTTCTGTGATAATTTTTCCCTTTTATTTTCTTAATGGCCCTTTCTGTTAAGTATTAATTCATTTACTCTCTTGATGGTGATCTAATTTTTATACATCTGCTATGATCAAGTGGCTTTTGTGCTTTTTTTTTTAAACCTGCGTTTAAGTGACTCTGAATTTAAACTGAGTGTACTGCAATAGTAACCAAGCTACATTGAATTTTACCTGAGGAGGGCCACCTCAAATTCTGCTGAATCCAGTCTTTTAACAAGGTAGATGTTCTTTCAGATTCACTCCTTTTTAGTTGGCAGAACAAAGGGTTCTGCCCAAAGCTGGGACCTATGAAAGAAAATTACTAAAATGGATGTTGACATGCAGGAAAGACTCTAAGAAGAAAACAAAAAGGTTACAGTGAAGATATTTGCCAAGGCATTAAATGTAAAGGTTGAGAGACAAGTGAAAAGACTTTAGAAAAAGGACAAGAGACTTGCTCTTATCACCTTGGTGAATTAAACTCCTGTATTGAGTCTGGCCGAGGTGGAGTGAATCTTCCCCAGACCAGCTCTCACAGT